TTAGCTCAAAGTGCCACTGTGCCCAAGTAAAGCCTCACAAAGATTATAGTCTTATGAATTGCTCAAAGTTGCCTTTTTCTCCACCTGGTCCATCTTTATGAATGTCCTCCTCAGCCCTACAAGCAAGTTTATTTGTTACATCTATGTAATGATGATCCTTAAACCTAAAACAATGGTTTTATTAAAACTTAATAATTTAGTGCAAAACTCACCACATTGATCTTCATCTCTGTTCATCCTTAAGAAATCCCTTTTTAATTAGTTTGGAAAGACATACCATTTATCACTTTACTTTGGTCCGACTGATTTGTCCGCTTTGGGTTTTGATGCGGTCTCAGCATGTGGTCTTCTCTCCAGCTCACAGTGGAACTGGTCTTAGCGTGGCCTTACATTTGTCTCAGGCAGTCTTAACTACAGACATGCCCTTGCATTCGCTGTAACGTGTCCTTTGTGCTGTCAGTATAGAGCTGATAAACCCCCTCTTCTATGTCGGCCATCTATCTCTTCTCCCCTTTTGTCACCCTTGAAGAGCCAAACCAGGTGAACATGGGCACTTTTTCCTCTCTCTCTGCACTTAGTCCTCATGGGAAGTGCAATCTCAAGCCAGCAGGGCAAAATGAATCATTTTGTTCCCACTTTCTTACTGTCAGCCATGGCAACAGCTTTCTGCGAGCCATCTCAGACTGTGCTTCTCAAGGCAACACTCACCCTCCCCTGTCATTATCCTGTCCATTAGTGCTTTTTGCCATTGTCATTTGGATTCCAGGCCGTTTTTTAATAGCGGACTCCTGTGTGGTGTCCTTGATGCTCGCCACATGCAGACAAATTAGCTACAGCACCCCGAGGTCTGTTACGCGTTGTGAGCAGATTCACTCTCTGTCAATGTATTGTGAGATAAACTGTTATAATGACTGACCATGTAAAATAGTCTAAAGGATTATAAACTATAGATTATATTTTAATTCTACCCGATTATATTTTAATTCTAATAAATCTTTTTCCAGTGATTTGATACTCCACTTTTGTGCCCTTTAAACCAAGAACACATTTTGCCTCTCAGCTTCCAACATCACATGAAAATGATTTCATTCTCTTACAGAAACTCAAAGAATAACTTATCTTATGAAGTGCATGACGCAGCGTTTTGTGTGGCACCTTGAGTGAGTTTCCTGGCTTGGAAAAAGGAATTGTTTTATAATCCTCTTTGGAACAACGTAACCATTGTGTTCCCAAAAAGCAGGACGTGCACCGACACACCGAGCACTGATATCAGATATGACCTCACTCATGTTAGATCTAACGTGGTCTTCTGTAAAATAGGCTCGACACTGTCACTAGTCACTATCCCACAATGGAGAAATCACTTCTGACTGCAGTTTTTGTGGCCACTTTCTCTTGTCTCAGTGAGTCCAGTCTTGCTTCAAAGGTTTCCGAACTTTTAAACACCTTAAAGATGCTACTGAGGAGTGAATTTGCTTAATTTATGTGATTTCCCCCGTTTTTGACACTTGACACAAAAACACAGTTGGTGTATTACTCTAGTTCTTATCATACAAAATATGATCTCATGTCAAGCCTAGATGGAGATTTGACTTGCTACTTCATGGTAATGGTGGTTCCTCAGGAAAAGCAATGATTTGCTCATAATAGGAGATTGTTTAGGAGTGAAATTAGATTGACCTCATCTGCAGATGCAGGAAATGTTCATCCTCATTAAAGAACCCAGTGTGCACTGAATGTAAGAAATGTCAGGGGATGCTCACTCTTTTTTATACTTGACAATTCACATGAAAGCAGCTAAAAACCAGGGTGTAGCAGTTTTTAAGGAGAAGGTCTAGATGAAGAGATACAGACGAATACTGCAGTGTCACGAAGAAGCCCCTCAGTTTTTATACATCCAGTACACATTAAAGCATTGATGTGTGCTGCATGAAGGCAGTGTCTCCATAGGGCACACTGCTGTATGTGTGTTTTTTTTTTTGAGAGGGTGGGGTGGGGTGGAGGTCTCTGTTGTCTCCTGCTCTTTTTAGCTTTATTATGCAGTGTTATAATAAAAATGAACGTGATGAGGAGTTTAAAATACTCATGAGAACATCATATCCACTATCCTGCAAATAACAAAGACAATGTGATCAGTGCATTATTAGAATACTTCTGTTGGCACTAAAGTTAGTCAACACAATGTTCACAGTAACACACCCTGATATCTATATCATAGAGAACTCATTAAACGCACCACATCTGTGTGCTCGTGTGGAAGTAACAGTCTGAAATGGGAGTTATCAGAAAATGACACGTGACTCTAACTCAAAGTTGACAGTGTTAAATGTAAAAACTTTTCTACAGAGTTCCTGAGAAGTTCATGTTTTAGAGGTGCCTTACTACTTTTCATTGAATTGTTATGATGAGAGGGTTTTTGAAGTATCAGACTAAATGTGTCAGTATGTGCCAAGTAAGTCCTCTAAGCATCAAATGTCAGGTCATGTACATAGTCTTGTTTCTGCCAGTTTTTCACAATTTTCTTCACACTAAGCAAAAGTTCTTGTACGGTTGCTTGTGTTTAGACAGCCTTCAACACTTGACAACTTTGATTTATTTTGTTGTATTTCTATGTCAGATTGAGACATTGAAAAAAAGTAGAGTTTAGGTATCGGTAGTGAAACTCAAACATTGTATCAGTGCAAGTAACAAAACCTTACAAATGATCCATGGTGACCATGTGCCATATGTGCACCATGAGGATATCGGCCTACATTTTAAGCATGGTTAGCCATTAAGGAGATTGAGAAAAAAAATATTTTAAATGTGATTTCAACATATTGGCTAATTCAAATACATCCTTTAGATTTAGGTTCAGTTGGTGGGTTTGTTATTTGAGCAGAATCTGATGACTGCAGTAAATGGGCCACATACCCGACACCATACTGAGCTCTTGTAATAGACTAATTTGAAGTATCTATATGTGCTAATTAGGTCATCTTGACCCTGGTGAGGACAGGGGAGTGCAGAGTGGTGAAGTGTGGCTCCCATTCTCTACTTCGTGGCTGCCCTCCAGTCATGCAGCCAAGCGGGAGGTGGGCAGTCCAAGACAAAACAGTGTGATGTAAGAGCTGCACAAGCTGGGAACTTTCTGAGGCAACACACACTCACATACTACACCCATGTATATGTATGACAGTATGACAACTACAACCTTTGATATTCCTTTTGTTGCTCGTAGCCAGGGATCTGCCCAAGGAAACCCTACTGAGAAATACTGAGATTTGAGATGACAGGTTGAGGTGTTGCTCTGTCTCCTTTTATCGAATTTCTCATCTTTCTGCCTTTCTTTTCTGGATTGCATAGATCCATATTGTATGAGATGGATAGAGTTGGACTGCGGAAAATACCAATACCAAAAACACCAAAATGCAGTACTGTGGTGTAAATATTGTGGGTCAAGGAAAGTAAAAAAAGAACAAAAAAGAGTTGAAAAGTGAACAGTGATGCAATTCTAACAAGGTTGAAAGGACACGGTTGACTAAAAATAAATAAATAAATAATGTATAGCCAGATTGCTCTTTTTTCTTGGCTGGCTGACTGTTTGCTACAGGTGGCTCATCCTTGGCTGATTTTACAATGGGTTCAGATCCACATTATGTGCTTACTGAGAGACTACATAAATTGTAGTCAAAATGTACTGAGAGGGTTCTTTTAAAATAAGATTATTATACATCAGAGGTGCGCGATATAAAAAAATGATGATTTATTTATGATTTATAATGTACTTTGATTTTTTCATGTATTGAAGTCACTGGTAAACCAGAAACAGGCGATGATCAAAATTTTTATAAACAATTTATCACATTACTACTTGTAGTAGTTATGAATTATCACCCCGTCAGCTCTATAAAGCGTTTTATCGCTTTTGAGCTCATTTTTATGGTTTTATGTGCAACAACTTTACTGTTTTGGTTCCCTCTCACCACTCTCACAGTGCAGACAGACACAGAGAGTAGCTGCGGAACACAGTGGAGCGTTTAGCAGCAAAGGAGCCAGACGTTTTCCTCAGGAGTTGGTGGAGACCAAAAACAGAGCTAAAAGAAAAGAGAAGAATGGACTTACATTCGCCACCACTAGTGTACATTAAACAGCTACTTAATTATAGTAACAATTCTGATTTGTTATTTTCAACCTTGCTTATATTTAGAGTAAATATGACCCACAGATGTGCATAACCTCGCTTTCCTGTGTCTTTCTCAGCAGCTGGGAATGGACTGCTCATCCTCCTGCTGGGATGGATGAATCTCCTTCATCCTCCTCTGCTGTTATTCTGAGTAGTTTCTTTTCTTTGTTATTTTTTTTTTTTACAAACCATTGTTTTCAAAGCTCCAGTTATTTTCTTTGAAAACAAACGCCTAGCTGTCTTCAGTCGCTGTGGATTAAGAGCCACAACACGGGCGTGTTATGCTATTTTGGAGACGGAGAGAGATCTTGATTGCTCATCCTGCTTTTCTAATTTTATATGAAGGAGTTTTTTTGTCCTATTTGTCTGGAGATTATGGGAATCTATAGTGAGCAGAGATTTATTTATAATAAAAAAATGTGATGAATTTAACATGGCTTGAACTCATGGTTTGACTTTTCTGACAGTGAGCCATTTAAGTGGCATTTAACCACTATTGTATGGACTTAAGGGGAAGAAGGGTGTGTACTTTTGTATACAGTACTCCTTCAATAATGTCTGTACTTGCCTCAGCAGAGTGAAGTTTTCCTCAACTGTTGAGGCGATAGCACTTGAACCAAGACAATGATAGAGAGGGAATGACGGGAGCTGCAAAGGACAAAGAGGGGAAGGAACTCGTGGAGAGAGAGGTAGAAAAAAGGAGATAATACAGAAAAAATGTACCCCTTATACAAAGGCAGTGGCTATGTCTCCTTGAGTGCTGTCTACTCCCTCGTCTGTGTATGTTAGAAACCCCACCTCCCCCAGTGCTTCTCTCCTCCCCTCCCCTTCTCTCTCAGTCTGTGGCCGAGGAATCCAAGGCAGCGTTTAATTGCAGAGTGCAAAGGCTTTAGCTGGGCTAATGAGCTCAGCACTGCAGCTGGGACTCCTTCACGCACTCTCTGAGACACCGAAACCCATATGGAGTCCTTTACCGGAGGAGCCTCACAAGACGGCTGGATTTTAGGTGGAGGGGAGAGAAGGACTTCATAAATTCAGGTACAGCCGACTATGTGAGAGAATATACCAGAGGCAAGAGACAGAGTAAGAGGTGGAGAGAGAGAGGAGTGCGGGAGAGGGGAGGGGAGGAAACGGGAAATACACAGCCAGAGAGAGAGAGAGAGAGAGAGAGAGAGAGAGAGACTAGAAGCCTGGAGCAGCAAATGAGACAGAACAACGAGGCGGGAGAGGTAGAAAGAGAGAGGGAGGGAGGTGGAGAGGGGCCCCGTGTAGGAGAGAGGGCTACAGGGTGAGGAAGAAGAAAGAGTAGAGAAAAAGTTAGGAGAAGTAGGGGAAAGAGGGTCCAGAGGAAAGAAAAGAACAGGAACAGAGATTAACAACTACAGGAGAGAAGAAGAAGGGAAACAACAGACAGGAAGGAAGGGGAGGGAGACTTCTTGAGTAGAGAAGAGAAAAAAAAGAGCTGAAGAAAAGTTTTCTTGTGGGAAGAAGCAGATGAGGAAAACAGAGCGAGTGAATGACTGGGCTAGTGAGAGAGAGACCAGGGACAGGAGGGGAACCAATTGTTTTCTAAGGCGTTTTCCACACAAGCCTCTGGACTTCTTTGGACATGTACACAGGAGGCGCACAAACTACGGGACACCACCGATTTCTTCAGCACATCAACACTCCCTGCCCCTGCCAGCACTGCGTCCACTATGAGCAGCAAGCGTACAGCCATCACGGTGGGCCGGGATACCATCCAGCATCAGCCAGACAGACAGACCACCCATCTCTGGACTGCAGGAGAGACATCCAGGCTCCTCGGGTTAAAGACGTAGGAGGGAGAGCTTTCGTAGTGGACAGAGCTGAGCGAAGCGGTCATCGCAGCCCACAGAGGAGGCCTGTGTTCGCAGGGCCAGGCCCTTACAACCATTCAGATGACTTGAGCCAAGTTTGCCCCTGGGAGTTGAACCCTACCCAGTGGAGCTACCCACTGGAGCCTGGGGTGAGACACTACCCGTCTGTCAGGGAACAGTGTGGCTGTGTGGTGCGCAGCGACACCAGGGCACACCCCTTTAACACCGGAATACCACATCCTCTCCCCCATCTTCAGGTCAAAGGTCAAGGGTACAGGACCAGGAGGACTGTCAGGTATGTCTCTGTGGACGAGGGGGAGGAAAGTTGTGAATGCACCTCTGAGAACTATCATTTGGAGCCACGCAATCCCCATCTAGATCACTCACACATGCCAAATGGCCACTGTAGACCGAGGCCTGTGTTCTTAGAGGGAGGGGAGGAAAGAGATAGCCATCAGGACCGAGACAAACTGAAGGGTGGATCAGAGGAGGGCTGTAACGGACGCGGTGGCTTTCACAAATGTTTCTTCCCCACTGAAGTCCCACAAAAACACTTGAACCAAAGCAGACACAGGGGGCCCTGCACCCCTCCCTCTGGCATCACCAGTCTAGAGCCCTCAAGCTTGACAACCAACAACGACCACCAGCGGCAGGGTTCGGAGGTGGTGAAGCAGAAGAGGAGGCAGGATTTGGTGAGGGATCAGATCAGACAAGTGGTGACGGATCTGGAGGATGTGTTGGGAGGTCTGAAGCAAGTTCACGTGGAGATGAAAGAGGTAGGAGTGTCTATTATTATGGGTGTTTATTCTTCATGTGTATGGATCAGGTGTGCGTCAGGTGCAGGTGTCCCAGCCTTTTATCGATGCTCCCCTGAATACTGTGACATTTAAAACAATTGACACAAAGCTTGGATGCTGACAAAAGTGCAGATCAGTTTGACACAGGTTGTGTATCTGTGTGTGCATGTTCATGAGAGCATATCAGTATGTGTGCTCCATGCTGACTGTATTGTTTGTGACTCACTCATCATCTCTTACCGAAGCGGTGATTGAGAACCATTTGCAATGACCTTTTGCAGAACGCTGCTGAAATTGGCAGCGTTCCGGCCGGCACATTAAAAAGCTTGAGACTGTTACAAAATTATGCCTTGCTCTTACAGTATCCATTTTGCATGCAGCTGTAAAATTGCATTGATTCACAGCTGAATGCATCTGCGCAACGCCTGGCGTACTAAAGTGACATTAGAAATCTTTATGATTGTGAATTGAGACTGTTGGAAACAAAAGGAAGTGAAGCAGGTTTGACTGGCTAAATTGTTGATTATTGTTTCAGTTTTAGCACAGTCAGAGACAAACCTGTGGTAATAAATACTCACATCCTTTACTTAAATACATGTACCAATACTACTACATTGCATAAATACTCAATTACAAGTATAAATCCTGCGTTTAAATCCTACTTCCGTACATGGTGCAGATGTATGATCAGCTGAAAGTGTCAAAAATGAAAGTACTCATTCATTATTATTACTCAGACATTATTAGATTGTTAATGCTGATGTATCAATGCATAATCAGCATGTTTGTGTTTTAGTGGAGCTAATTTGAACTTCTTTATATACAGTTAGATAGTTTAGTCAAGTGGTTCCCAATCAGGGGGTCAGGGCAAGGAAAAAAAAATTGCTACACAGATTTGTAATAATTACTTTTAAATATTCTGAAGTTTTTCCTTTTTCTGAAATATTGGAGAGTTTTACACCTTCTATTAAATGAAACCATCTGACATTAGAGGGGAAATGTGTCTTTGGTGAAACTCAAAATCTACTTATTTCTGTCCACCACTGCTGGACACGTACCGACTCTCTTTATTGTCATTCAGGTGGTCGAGCAGATTGATCGTCTCACAGCCAGTATCGACCTCAGTGAGGAGGCGCCCTGTATCACTCAGTTCAATGACTTTCATGGCTCAACTCACCCAGGTGACCTCAGGGTGGCCCTGCTGCCCAATCACAAGCCTCCCCCTGTCCAGGTGTCGCAACACATCAATGAAGACCGCATCATCTTAAGAACTAACTCTCCCTCCCCAGTTCACATGGCATCAGTCGTCAAAACCAGCCTCTTTACACCATCCAGCCTCAGTAAGGAGATCAACCACGAAAAGCCAGGTGTAAACGGCCACCCGCCCCACCTGTATCACTCCAACCAAACTCATCCTAAGACCCACCCACAGAGCCTAGACCCTAAGGTCATTATTGGTAACAGCACCTCCAATTCAAGAACTCAGAAGCCTCCTCTGTACCCTCAAAACGGACGGTGTGGGAAGGGCCCGTACCCACCTCCCAAGCCTGTGAGGACCCCTACCTACCCAGGGAGAGGCTGCCAGAGCACCAGCATGGTGTGAAGGAGGGGGGTGGTTTGCCCCAGTGCCATGGGGGGCTGAAACATGAGACCCTGCTGCAGCGAGTGGAGGTCAGAGTGGGACCAGGCAGGGGAACAACTCATGGTAAGTTCAGATACAAGAGTAACCCCCCTTCTTCTTTTACAGTTTCCGTCAGCGCTCGCAGCCGATGACGTGTTTACTGGCAGCATATTTTTCAAAGTCAGTAAATGAATAGCAGTGTTCCTCCCTGTTTGAAAAAAGGGTTTATGTGTATGTTTGATGTCTGTGTGTGTGTGATGTCTGTGTGTGGGCGGCGGTGGAGGGGGTGTAATGCGTCTGCTTTTGTTGATGTCACATGATTTCCCAGCCTTCCCTACACTACAAAATGTGTCTGTCTTGGCAAGTGAAATGAGAAATGAGCGTTTGTTCTTCAATTTGCTTACACATGTGGTCAAAATCAGCCAGCTGGGTGAGAAAATGTCACTTGCTGAAGTAAAATTTAACTATTAAGAATGGATCTGGGGAATTTCTGAACTTGCAAAACAAGATTAGCCATTGGTTATTTCCTATTTTAAAATACAATCCTCACTTTAATCACTTGAATCTGATAAAAGGAGGAGGATAAAATCTTAAGACACTTTTTTTGTAGTGTAACTTAGTCATCACTTCAAAGGAACTGAGAGTTGGCAGGAGCTTAGATGTTTCTGGCTAAGGAAGACCCCATAGCCGCTTGATTCCAATCATGTGACACAAAAGAGGCATCATTAGATTTACAGGATGATCATAGCTCTGACTCAGGATTGGCATCATTTACCACTAGGGGTTGATGAGGAGGAACCAAACATCTCGTCTTGTGCCACAGTCAGATGTGTCATTACTGACTGTGAACTAGAAGCAGACTTAATAACAAGATGACATCTGTGAAAAAGTCCCTCCAGCAGAGGGGAAAATTAAATACATACAGTTAAGTATTCCACCCTTACAGATACTGTAGAGACAGCTGTACTTCCCTCTTGTGCAGAGTATGTGTTACTGCAATCTATTTTTCTGGCCTCTCTGAGTTGGGCAAGCACAATCTGGTTTTAATCATAAACCCCCCTGGCCACATGCCAGATTGGAGAGAGGCAAAATCTTGGTATATTTTGACGTCCATATAAACATAAGCACCGCTGCACAGCAAAGCAGCTCTTCATATTATGCTGCAGCGAGAGACGCGATTCCAAGGCTGCAGCCTTGGGTCAAGGCTGGCAGCCAGAGAAATGGGTTGAAAAGGTACATGTGCTTGAGCGTTAATTTTTATAGTCAGATAAGAGTTTAAATAGTTGAAATGTAATGTAGCTTTTCTGTTCGACACTGTCCTTTCTTTTCACTAACAAAGTCTTTCAAAAGCACAGATGCTGTTGATATTTTAAAAGCCTGAATCATCTGAGTTAGTCACCCAGAGAACAGATTTTGTGCAAGGCAACCCAGCCGTGCACACATACACACATGTTAATACTTCTATACTTGCGAGGATACTCATACACTCAGCCTAACTAATCTAATCTTAACCTTAAAACAAAGTCTTCCCTCAAACACCCCTTTTGTTCAAATGTTTCCCATTAGCTTCTTCTAATGTGGTTGTTTGGAAGTATATCTCATTTGCAAAGGTTAGGACTCCACATAGTTTTAAGTACAAGACACAGGCACACACACATACACATTTGTACTTCTATACTTGTGAGTATTCTCATTGGCATAATACATTACCCAATCCTCAAACAACCCTATTTATTATATGATCAGCATTAGCTAGTGTGGTGTCCATGAATACACACAAAGGAGACATGGTAGAATTAATTAGTTTGAAACAACACTGTATAAACCAGTAGGAAATAAAAAGACATGAAAAGATGATTACACATTTGGATTAGAACCAAGGCTGGATTACTGACCTTGCAAACTTGACACCAGAAAAGCCTCAGGTGTGTGTGGTTTGTGGTAATTTATTAATTTACATCAACTGAAATGATAATGGGGTATTGTATCAAAATCTACATTTAAAAACTTCATAAAATCAGTGCATATTATGCTTTCATACACATTCCTTAATACATTAGTATTTAATCAAATTACCATAAATTTTTCGGTACACAGCAAACTTGAGGTAGTATTCAGGATTCTGCAGTTCTGGCATGTACAGTCTGTTTTCTGGTCTGTACTTGATGAAAAGACAGAAAGTTGACTTTTTTCATTGTTTGAACTTGTATAATTATTTTTCACAAAGTTGTACTTTGTATTTACATGATGTGGTTATATGCTCTGCATTTAATTTAATGTTGCTGTTGCTCATACACCTCATGTCACAGAAAAACTTGGTTGCCAGTGTTCCTCCACAAGCAAGTCAACATGACTCACAAGGACACACACACACACACACGCCGCTTCACCTTCAGTACAGTAGATATTAACACTTTTTGTGGCTCCATCAGTGAATGACGTTCTAAGAAAAGCCTTGAAATAACACACAGTTTTTACAGTATTTGATTGTGGTGCAGTGGTGAGTCAGAGTGCACTGAGGTGCAGAGGTCTCAATTTAAATGATTTCCCCCCCATTTTTATGTTCTGATTTTTCCAGCAGTAGCTGATGCCACTGAGACAAGCTGTCAGCCGGCGGAAACGGAGCACGGCCTGAAGGTGGGGATATTTCCAAAGGGAAAACTCCCCCAAGAGTCGACCCGCAGCTGTATGTCACACGAGCACAGAAGCATGGAGGAGTGGCAGTCAAACCTCTCTGAGAATCTCTACTTTTGCTGTTACTGGTGATGCAATGGCAAAAAAATAGACTAAACTACTCAACAACCACCATTAGAAACATAAAGGTATCTTTTCATGACAATATTAATTTATTTATACTATTTTTTTTTTTACTGCAAAGATATCTATTTTCAGGCAGCTTACACCAGTTTGGATACTACCTAACCTAATGTATGCTATATTAAAGATTTATATAATCTAAAACTATTGTACAGACATTTTACAAATAAAGAGTTTTATACTGTTTTTGTCAGTGCTACATGGTTTTTAAGAGTGTTTAAGAAGAATAATCAGCACGGAGACAAAAGGCAAAGGCAGAGCTGAGATTAAATTTCAGTACAAAAAAATTCTTCAGCACTTTTCTCATATATCAATCTGACGTCTCAATTATCTTACTCCAGAGATGCATTGACCGCTGAATGTCCCACATTTGAATACGAAATAAAAGAAATGATGCCAGCATTTCCTTGCTCCTGACTCTAGGAAATTATTTATGCATCCATTGAGTCTGATAGAAGTATCCCAAATGGTTGTGGAAGTTGTAGAAATACATTCTTCCCATGGTGATCTGTAGATGACAGTGTGTGATCTCTCATGGCCTTATCCTGTCACGCTGTCTCGGGTCTGTGTCTCTTGATTACTTAAATCTAGTCAAAGACTTTCACCACTCTGCTCTCACAAGAGTCCTGCTGCTATCAGAGCACACCACTTTCCTCTGACAACTAGTGTAATCCATCCATATCACAAAACATCCTTCACTCTGTGTCTCTCTTTCGGTCTGTTTCACTGATGGAGAGCTATGGTGACAGATGGAGGATGACACATGCAACCTGTTAACCGTCCAGGCCACTTTGTCTGTCACTCTCTGTGTCTGCAGCCTATCGCAGCTGGAGTAATTGTGTTATAACGGCGAGTGAGAGGTGAGGTTGTGAAGAGTCGATAAGCAGCTAAAGGTTAGATAGATGGGCGAGGTGAGAGTACCAGAGTCCATTATTACTCGTCAAGAGCAACATTCAAAATGAAAAATGTTTTCCTTTTTGACCCCTGTGATTTGATAATAGTATAGACTAGGGCTGCAACTTACAATTATTTAGTTGGCATTACTTTTCTGAGCACTGCACAGGTCAAACTCAAGGCCCGGGGGACCACTAAATGAAAACCTAGAGTCTGCTGTTCTCAGCTGTTTAACTCATATCACTGTAAAAACTCACAGAAAAAACAGTCGGAGGACAATAACAACAAACATTATTTATTCTTTAGCTCTGACTGAGAGGAATCGTTTGATATGCTAGTTGCTACACATCACCATTTTCATGTTATCAGCTTGTATAACATGGAGTTCTTTCGTCATAGGGATATTGATAAATACTCAGTGTATTTATCAATGTTTCAATTTTATGAAAAAAGACCCCAAAAATGTTATGACTATTACTTATACTACTTTGTATATTTCATTTTTAAAATAAATTAAATAGTTGCACCTAACGATTAATTTCATTGTTGATTAATCTTATTTTCTCGCTAAAACGATTAGTTGTTTGGTCTATAAATTGTCAGAAAACTGTCAAAAATGTCAATTTCTGTTTCCCAAAGCCCAAGAAAACACCCTTAAATGTCTTAATTTGTCCACAAACAGGAGAAATGAAATGAGAAAATGTTTACGTCTAAGAAGCTGTAAATCAGATGCTTTTTATTAAGCAGATTATCAAAATAGTTGGCGATTAATAGTTGACAACTGATGGCTCCCCTACTGTTGCACTTTCCAATTTTGCACTGCACATATGCAGTTTACAATACAACAATAAGCTAACGTGTTATTACAGCCCATGAATTGAATGGAAACATCTACATCTTTTCAACATTTTAATTTGATTCGTTTTAAAGAGGTGGTATTATGCTTTTTGGCTTTTTATATACCTTTTTTGTGCATGTTATAGGTTTGCAAAGTGAAAAAGGTCAAAGTCCAGCCCAAAGGGAGTTCCCATGTCCCACAGAAAACTCTGCTCTGAACTGCCTGAAAACAGCTTGTTTGTAGTCCAGCCGCTTCCCTTTCATCGTTGTGATGACACAGGGATGAAAGCTAAATGCGCCTCATATAATGCTCGCCTAGCGGCTACTCCGACACCCCTCAAAAACACGGGTGTAAAAACACTGAGCTGCAGCACACACCTCTCCGCTCCATTCCAAACACTAGTCAGTGGACATAAAGTTGTTACTGTGATGTAGAGACAGAGCTTAGTTAAAACCTTATGGATGAAAGCTGTATTTGTTACAGATTAATAACTCATTCTGAAACTCTTGCTCCAGCCAAGCTGGTCGGCAACACGTACAGCTGAATAGCCGTGTTTACCAGCTTCTCACTGACCCGCCCTTCTCTGCTTCTGATTGGTTAATAGTCCTTAAGGAACTGCGCATGTGCAACTCAAAATCATTTTGAGACAAGATGCATCACTCCATAACTAAAAGGAAGCCTTCAACACGCAGGGTGAAAAGGAGCTGCAGCAATGTGCAGTATGACAAAATGTTTCTTGAAAATTAAACCATGTACACCTGTTCAGGTAAAACCCCTAAATAAGATTATGAACCTGAAAATGAGCATAATACCACCTCTTTAAAACAAACCTTGTAAAAGAATTGTAAAGTGGCTATAATCTATATTTTTATAATGTATTAAATGACAAGGGGTCTCTTGTAGTGATGAACCTACATGGATTACCCGAATCCGCAGCTTCCTAAGCTTTTTTGATTCACTCACTGCTCTCAGTGTGGTTTCCAGCAGAAAAACACCCTGTACACTTACCTGCTCAGCGGTAAACAGATACAGTTAGAGACTAGCTGGTGAAAATAGGGGAGCATTTAGCAGCTAAGGAACCAGATATTTCTGTTGCGAGTTGGAGACCAAAAGCAGAGTCGAACACTTACATTTGCCAGGTGGACAGGAACAGGACTCCAAATGAATGCTAATGCTGCTCTGTAATTGCTGGATGTGTAATAAAGCAATGTTTGTTCAATGTAAAGGTGATTACATATCAGTGTGTTCACCGCTCTTTTCCGTTTCTCCCAAGTGGCACAAATCTACAGGTTTAAATATGCACTTGATAGCTACATACATGATGTCATGCTAAAAGAGTAATGCAAATATCCCAGCAAAAAGTTACCAAAAGCTGATCTACATAAGATAAAACTGCAATGTTCTTGTATTGAAGGGGAAAACTAGATAGCCCAATGACAATATTCTAAATAAAAATGTTGTGTTCTAACAGGGGAAAAAAACACACCCCAAACATTGTCAAGCAACACGTTAGAATAATGCTTTGAAACGGTAGTTGTACTTCAGTGTAATGAACTCAGGTTATGAGTTTGGCTGTAGTTGCTGGAGTGTAAATTAAGGATAAATAAAATAAGGAAAAAGACAAAGATGTTAAAGTTTCTTTAAACCTTGCTCCAGCGCTAGCTTATCAGCTGTTGTCAACATGTCTATTGTAAGTGTTTTAGTAAACTCAATATAACACATTTAAAAATCTGCTCTTTGACCTCAGTATTTCAGAAAGGCTGCCCTGCCCAAGAGTATGTACTTTAAAAATGTTAAACAGAAAAACCGCACATACTCACATCTGAATAGCTATAGCAATTATCACTGCTTGATAAATGCCTTAAGTGATGATTTTTGTTCCTGATTAACACATTTATTAATTGACTAGCGCTGGATGAATCACAAGTTTGAAAATAATGTAGCAGGCTGGTGGTGGCGCTAAAAGAGGAATCAGCACCAGAATCCAACAACGCCACCTGGGGACGTCCATCCCATTTCTGCTTTGACTAACCTTTTATACAAAGGCTACACAGGTTTATTGAAGTAAGACAGACATGGCTCCAAAAGAATAACTCATTTATTGATAATCAGTAACTGGAAGTGCCTGAAAAGAGGATGGTCAATAATGCAAATAATTAGTTATAATTGAATATAAAAGTTTTACAGATTTGGCAAACAAGTTATTTTTTTAAGAAGACACTCCCAGTCAATACTGAATATTATTGTACCAAACAAAAAGGTAGAGTGGTCCAGGGCCAGCTGTAGAGAGGCAAACTAAGGGTGTGCTCCAGGGGCGAACCAACTTACCCACCGCATGTGCCCACTGCAATTGACAGTCACTGCAAACCAGTTCACTGCAAATCATGTCACTACCAAATCATGCCCCAGTGCTGTTAACACTACAATCAGTGGAGGGACCCAAACTAGCGTGCCTAGCCTCCACCACAAGCTGACCACTAAATGAAAAAAATCCAACAAGTTGAATAAAACAGACCAGTTATATCTAAAATACAAGGGGAGTGCGACCTGGAGGCACTACAGCCAAAGTGTACCAGCAACAATTGTTAAAATCCTTTAACAAAGGCAAAACAGCAGCAGACAATTTACAATTAAAACATACATATTAGCAGCAGGTCTATAAAAGTAGTTAATGTGCAATGTCACCTCAGGAAGTTATACCCTACTTGTTGCTCATTAAGCTTCATATACCTTAACACAGTGCTCTGTACAGGACAGTACATCACGCCACTCCAGACAGGGAACGTTGGAACATGAAACACAGGGGCAGCAGACTGCTGCAAAACATACAACCTCAGTCATTGGGAAAACACAACACAAACATAAGATAGGTGTTTTTTTTTTAAACTCAACCGCCTATCTAAACGTGACAGAGGGTTACATGTGGCAACCTAAAGGCTGGGAAAAGGTAAAGAGGCAGCCATGATAACACAGCTGCCTTAAATAAGCTCTGCTGATGAGGGGGTTTGCTCTGGGTGGAGCTAATTTGATGCTCTGGAGGTGCGTTCAAGAGCAGCTAAACACCTGTAGGCCTGCATAGAAGCACACACCACTACAATAACAACATTGTATCTCCTAAATTCTGTGTTTTCTTAAAAGTAAAATAAATATTTTTATAGCTTAGTCATGAACATTGTCGAGTGTTTTTCATATTCCAGATACAAAATCAATCTGCTTGCTATTCATTGGAGAGGTATTTTTGGCATTGAGATAAAAGCATGTTTTAAAAAAAAAAAATAAAATCTTTCTTTCAACTGTTCTATTTGATTCAAATCTAAGTTTTGACACAAATCTCACTAGAGACATATTGAGAATGCTGTATGAACACCAATTTGAAATTACAAAACAATCAATCCTCAATGCGATCACTTAAAGTCTGCTGGCCTGGTTCCTAGATAATGCTGCGCCTAAAGCCTAGTGGGCTTTGAGAAAGGCCACGTCTTGGCCTGCAGTCTAAGTCTGCATCTTTTCACATACCCTGTCAATGAGTCTTGTCAGCCAGAAGGCACACTGGCTGAGCCGTTGGCTGTGCCGCCTTTGTAAATACTGGAGTGACTCTGGAATGTCAGACAGACATTGAGACCAAGAACAACACAACTCTTAGTACTGCCACCTCCCGTTTGTCTCATCC